GAAACATGGAATTTTTATCTCTCAAAGGAAGTATGTCTTGGACCTTCTTCAAGAGACAGGGAAGGGAACAAAGGCAATTAGCACCCCTATTGATCGTAACCATAAAATCAGTGTAACAGAAGGTGAACCAGTAAAGGACATTGGGAGATATTAGAGACTTGTGGGTCGGCTGCTATACTTGTGTATGACAAAACCAGACATCTCCTATGCAGTGAGTGTAAGTCAATACATGCATGCCCCACGAGTCTAGCATTGGGAGGCAGTTGACAGGATCCTTGCTTATCTGAAGGGACATCCAGACAGAGGCATATTGTTTACTGATCATGGACAGTTGAAATTAGAGGTTTATACAAATGCCGATTGGGCAGGATGCCTTGATGACAGGAGATCAACTTCAGGAGTGTGCACCCTAGTTGGGGGTAACCTAGTCTCATGGAAGAGTAAGAAACAAACAGTGGTGGCAAGATCAAGTGTTGAAGCCGAATATAGGGCCATGGCGAATGGAGTTTCAAAACTTCTCTGGATCCGTTCTCTGTTAGAAGAAATTGGTGTACAGGCAGAAGAACYCATGATGCTATAYTGTGATAACCAGGCAGCAATTAACATTGCCCATAACCCAGTCCAACATGACCGAACTAAGCACATTGAAGTGGATAGACATTTTAACAGAGAAAGGGTAACTTCTGAAGAAGTCTGTCTTCCATACATTGCTTCTGATCTATAGCTCGCTGATGTTCTCACAAAGGGTGTTGCAAAGAACAAGTTGGAGCATGATCTACGCAAGTTGGGAATGTGTGACATTTACTCCCAACTTGAGGGGGAGTGTTGAGTGGGCTGGTTTGTTTTGTTGAGTGGCCCGGTTTGTCTTTAGTTTGTTTTATTTAATTAGGAAGTTGTTGGGCCTTTGGCCCATTAGTTTTTTATTTTTTAAAGTTGTGACTATTCAGTTTTAGTAGCCGCCCTACTAAGGGCATTCTTGTAATATCTCATCTTTAAGTTAAATATAAATATAATGAGGGGCTGGCGGCTAAGGTTAAGTTCCTCATAATCCTAGTTGACCTCCTACTCTTTTCTTCTCTTTCCCTCTCTACTGCTGAAATCTTCATCTTCCTCCTCTTTCTTTCACAAGAAGCTTGACCGAATCAGCAAATAGTGATATCTACTGAGTGAAATAAGAGTATGCAAGTTCAAATCATACTAGTCCACTTATATGATATTGTGGGAATATTCTTTTTTTTATCAGTAAAAACAGAGAAAGCTTTATTGATATAGAAGAAATTAACAATGGAGAGCAGCCTTGGCTACCCTTGTAACAACAGGAGAAAACAAAAAGACAAACCCAGAGTTTGCTTTTTAGAATTACAATCATACCCAAAAGTTTGTTCTCTTCTAACCCTCTGTTTTGCTAATTGATCTGCCAAATTGCTTGCCAACCTTGGAACCCACTGGATTGATATTTGCATATCTTTTGACAGATTTCTGAATTTCTTTATCTCATTTCTGAACCACTAAGGACTCTTTTCCTCTCCTCTCAACCAGCTTAGGATCACTTTAGACTTCCCTTCGATTATCAATTTCTTAATGCCTAACTCCAATGCTTTTTGTAAGCCATACAAACTGCTTCCAACTCAGCTCTTATGTAATTCCCTTACCCAATTGGTCCCGAGAACAACCCCAAGGTTTCTCCCTTAACATTTCTTAACACTCCTATTTCAGAAAGGCCTGGATTACCAACACTGCTCCTGTCAACATTCAGCTTAAGGAAATCATGTGTTGGTGGATCCCACTGTTGCAGAAGTTTTCTCTTGGAGGAGGAGGACCCTGCAATCACCCTCCACTTTCTGAGTAAATCATCAACAGTAAATTCAGAGAACAAATTCACTGTTTTTACCCAATGCACTACTTTCACCAGCACACAGTCAAGCACAAACTCTACACTTCTTTCCTTCTCTTTGAATATTCTGAGGATTCTTTCTTCCCCAAATTGTCCATAATACAGCAGCCCTTGTGCATCTCCACATCATCCTCTCCCTTTTTCTTGGCCACCTAAAGGTAGATGGATCAAAAAGCCTATCCAAACTTTTCGGAGTAGTCCACCTGCAACCAAAAAGTGCAAAACCCAAATATGACCTGCAAAGGGGCAAGAAATGAAAAGATGAAAGGCAGATCAACCGTCTAAATTGCACAAGATACACCTGTTTGGAGAGAGTCACCAACCAGGTCTTTTCCTTTGCAGCATGTTGCATGTGTTGATTGCACCATGGCTTAGGAATATTCTTTATTTTTGTCTAGTGAAGTTATAATAAAAAATTATACGATATTTGGGGTCCAACACATCCCCAATCAGATCCTTAATCATCCTTAGATATGCTACCAGAGTTCTGGGAAGAAATTTGGTATCTATAAAGGCTTATGAGAGCAATTGGGGATGGTTTAGCATTTGAGTGGTCTCTTTAGTTGGTTTTAAGTTCAAGTCTAGAGTTTAGATATTGTTGGGATTTTGTTGATTGTTGCCTGTTGGGGGTTGGTTTTTGGTTCTGGTTTTGAGAGGTTGTATATTATGCCTTAGGGTTGATTTTACAATAGAATTAGTAGGGGGTCAATGTTTTATGGAATGGTTCAGTTTGCACTCTGCATTTTAGTTCGGTGAGGTTGTTTTGCATTTTGGTTGGCATGTTGAGGGTTTGGTGTTGGGTTTATTATTTCTTCCCTTGGGTTACTTCTGGTCACCTTTCTTGTAATTTCTTTTTTCTTCTAATGAAAATTTCATTTTACTACAAAAAGAAGTTTGAAATAGGAAAACTTTGGAGTTTTATTTAAATTAAAAAAAAAGAACATACTTGGATCAATTTCAGTCCTTAGGGGTTAGGGGTGCTGAATGAACTTGTTGACTGATTAGCTTGTGGGATATTGATGGCTATATAGGCTGCTTGTAGAATCAAGGAAGATGCAAAGAAGTAGAGAGAAAACCCCAAATCACTCAATGGAGACCTAGAATCACTCTAGGGTGTAGGAACCACTACCACTTTTAGCATAAAGTTGTAAGAATCTATATAAACTCAATTCATTGATGTCAAAAACATTCCATACATATTTATGGACTGTAGACCAATAAAAATTCTAGTAGAATTAAGAAGCAAAAGATTACAGTATTGAGTATTGTCACTATATTACTCTTAGAAAACTCAATAACTCCTAAACATCTCATGCAATGACTGGGGGAAATTTAAATGTAAACCAACTACAATTGGCACATCAAACCCAATGGCCGGGAGACACATAAAAATTAAATTACCAGTTCAGCCCAAATTACGAAGTACCATATCATGCTATATCAGGACCTGTTGTAAGGCCCTCTAGAGTAGGTCTTATGAAGTGTTGATTGATCCCTGTTGTAAGCCTTTCTCCAATTTTTGCTTCACTTACATGAATTGATTCACCAATTCTGATTTCTCGTCTTGCCACTTAAGCTGATTTAGCAAATTACCGAGGAGCAATATCAGGTGGTATTTGGTAAGAGGAATTGATTCACCAATTCTGATTTCTCATCTTGCCACTTAAGCTGATTTAGCAAATTACTGAGAAATCGCATTTGGTAAGGTGGTTTCTCAAGAATCAGATGAGGAACCAATCTCTTGATTTTCATGTTTAGGGGTAAGTCTTGAAGTTGAAGACAAAGGCTTCCTGGAATTTTTTTGTGTGTGGGGGGGGGGCTAGATTCTCGAAATTACATTGGTTGTGACGTGTTCGTGCCAATAATATGCGAACACCCACACTAAATTTTTGGAGAGATTGCTATGTCAGCACTATTTCTACCAAACATGTTTTTTCTAGGGTAATTGATGATTCCCCAAATGCCTCAAAATTGGTGATTCCTGAGGAAGCAATTTTGAGGAATCGATTTCTTTTACCAAACACCATCTCTGAACACCCCTTTAGTTCGCAAACCGAGATCTGGCTTGTGCAGTACTGCACTGTGCTAACCTACCACATGGTATCATTAAATTGGGTTAATTGTATTGAGGATGACTTTTGGATGCCTACTTATATTGGAGAAACTTAAAATTAGGTTTATGATGCTTTTGTTAACTACCATCAAATGATATAATTATATTCCTTTTCCATCAGTCTGGGTTCTCACTATTATTAGTTTCTGTCTCTTTCTATGATACACAGGTCTTGGATGAAATTCATCGCCAGCCTGTTCCACTTTCACTATCAATGGTTTCAGTCCCAGCCCCCGAGTCTGTTGTCAACTCCTTTCCTCTTAAGAATCACAAAAAGGCTAACACAGCTGAAAATGGAGCCGATGTGGAACAGTAAGTTTGTGGATTTATTAATTTTGAAGCATTATGAGACCATGGTTCCTCATTAAAGAGAAACTACAATATCAGGCTGAGGCAGGCTGGAATCCAATATGGATGGTTGTTTTTGGTGGGAGGCATGTGAGGCAAATGCACTTCTCACAGTGTTAACTTAGGTGCAAATCTGGGCTGGAATTGATTGTTCACAATATCATATCGACTGATGGGTGCATGGAAAGCATGCTTGGAGATGATTCCAAGTTGGGGCATTTTAGGAAAATCAGTTTTTGCATATTGCACATTAGAGTAATTAATGTGCTTCTAAAGGGAAGTCTTCTTGCAGCAATAGAAGGCTATATTACTCGAAGGTGCAGTAGATTTTTAGATGTGATTGAGAAAGGAACCATAAGATGTTGCAAATTTTAGGGAGACCCATTTTTAGCAAGCTGATGGTATTTCTGCAAAGTAATTAATGAACTCCACCTAATAAGTAATAATTTATTACCTTAACCATCATCTAAATAAGGGTAACTTAGCTTATTGCTATGTTAAACAAAAACAACTATATGGTTGTCATTCTTTTTGATTCTATGTTCTGTAATTCTCACTTAGCATCGTGGCTTATTTTATTCTGTAAAAAAATAAATGTGATGCAGGTGCTACATTTGTCTGGCTGAATACGAGGAAGGGGATAAAATAAGAGTTCTACCCTGCCATCATGAATATCATATGCAATGCATAGATAAATGGCTCAAAGAAATTCACAGGTACTGTGTACTGTCATCACCATCACCATCACCACCTTTCCCCCCTTTGTCTTTAAATTTTTCTAATGGTGCCTTCCGTCTATTTTTGTATACATTACAAATTCATTGTTCCTGTGCTGGTGTTTCAGTGTGTGTCCTCTCTGCCGAGGAGACGTTTGTGAGGGGGTCACTGAGGGATTTGCTTCAAACTCACAAGTCTCTTTTCTTTGAAGACAAATTGTACATATATACATGTTAATAGTGTATCTTTGCTCTTAAAAGTTTTGAGTGCCCCTTTCTTAAAGAAATTGCAGTAATAACATCTGCATTTTTATTTTAGCAGTAGCCATGTCTTGTAGCATCTTTATCTTTACCAAGAGATAAAAGCCAAAGAATACTGTAGCATCTTTACTGTCATATCATCAGCCCTGTAAATTTTGGTTGTTTTTGGTACAATTGTTGTTTCTACCTGAAACGTTTTAGGTTGATAAATGAAATGTGTTATTGCATCACATTTTGAGAGCTACTTCATCCAACGTGATTTAGAGGGTGTTTGGTTCTGTTTATGTTTATGGGTGGACGTTTATTTGTGTTTTTTCACTTTAAATGTTTATTTATACTTTTTCACTTTAAATGTTTTTTACTTTAAACGTTTTCTGTGTTTGTTGTTTGGTTGGGCTTCACTTTAAACGTTTTTTATTCTCCATCTCAGATTAATACCCATGAAAATGTGACACATCTGCATTTGGTTTCAAGAAACATTGGGGCATTGGGGGAGACAAGAATTTGGCATTTCCCCAAATGCCCTATGCACAAAAATCAAAGCATTTCAGTTTTTACCATTTATTTGATAAACAGTGAAACCAAAATAGTTAATTCATTTTGCTTCATATGCAATAAACGCTAATGCCTATGTGGTGTTGATGTGGTGGCATTTTTTCAATAAACGCCAACAGAACCAAACACATACTTAGATTCCATTCTCTAGCAATTTGACTTTTCGCCTGTTTTAGCTATTAAACCGCCTCAAAAATATCATGGAGAAGCAATAATGATACAAAATATATCCTTTGTAATCTTCACTTAAGAGGTTTCTCCACTTGTAYAGTCTGTTACTCCACGTGGACAATTTATTACTGCAAATTGATTTTAGTTAGGGTTGTTTACGGGTCGGGTTGGGTTGATTTATTGATGTTTTTCCAACCGACCCAACCTGGTCAGGTTACATGAAATTGAAACCAAAACTGACCATGTGTTAAGCAAAATTGACTTGGTCAGTTTGAGTCGGTTTGGGTTGGTTTCGACTCTATGTAGTGGTGACTTAGTTGTTGTTCATTTTTGGCTCTACATTCCCAAAGGAAACCGACATTTCCTTAATGTTTTGTGGCCTATCCATGGATCCAGATTTTGTGGAGGGAGCAGAGTTTGAGAGTACTATTTGCTGGAGTAAGATTTCAATCTACAGGAAACTATATAATAGATGGATCAAACTATCAAAGTCGGCCGGATCCAACAAAAGCTAAGAAGATGCTCTTTGCTACTGTAGATAAATAGTGGTGAAATACTGAAATTTAAGGCAAACATTTATTCATGTACTCTTTTATTATTCACTGATGGAGTGATGGGTCTTGGGTCATCTTTAATGTTTACAACATACCTCCTGATGAACTCGGTAGTGAAGAACTAGGTTGTAACTACTAACTAAGAATTAACTATTAAGTCGGTTCGGATGAGTCGGTTTCGGTTTTCACACATGAAAACTGAAACTGAACCGATTATCGATTTATGATTTTTTATAACTCAAAACTGATCGGTACTGAAAAAAACTTGACCGACTTGGGTTGGGTTGGACCGGGTTGGTCAGTTTGGATCTTCTTATGAATAGCCCTAGTTTTAGTTGGCATTTGGCCAGCTTCTCACCTTGGATCTATAAATACCTTATACTGTTTAATACAAGATTATTTTTTTTATTTTCTTGATCCGATACAAAATTCTGGTATTGTATCAGAGCAACACATGTGCTTTGCCCTCACTGAATCTCCTCTGTTTTGCCTCTTCTCTCCAAATCTCCTCTATTTCCTTTTTTGTCTTCACTGAAACTCCGCTCCTCTCCTTTGTTTCGTCCATGTTTCCCTCCCTTTTTAAAATGGCGATGAACATCGAAAACAGTGGCAGGGATCTAGAATTCACAGATCCAACATTGTCTATTACTTGAATACGTCTGACAGCCCTAGAACTGTTCTCGTTTCTTGTCTGCTCAACGACAAGAACTATGCTAGCCAGAGGCGAGCCATGGAAAACACACTTTGGACCAAGAACAAAATTGGCTTCATCGACGACACCCTCAATAAACTAGATCCAATGAAAATGATGGAACTCTAAGCTTGGAAGAAATGCAACTCCACCAAGGAGCTTGAGTGTAAGGACCAAAAGTTACAAGAAAAGGATGGACGAGCTCGCTCCAACCGAGCAGGAGTGGGGAACTTTATGAACTATATATAGATCCTCCTTCCGACTGACCAAAAAAAAGGGCTATCTTATCATTTCTTTTAGAGTCATTTAGATTGATTCTTGTTAGAGTGACTTTATCTACCTACGGAAAGGAAAGAAGGCTACTGCTCTATTGCCTGACTTGACTGACTGAACTGCT